GAAGGGCATGACAATCATCTAAATTTCTTATCCTTCCTATTATCTTAGCATCATCAGCAAACATGTTCATATAATTCTGTATACCAACTGGTAGATCATTTATGTACACAATAAACATCACTGGTGCAAGAACTGAACCCTGTGGTACTCCACTTGTGACATTTCTCCATTCCGATACATTGCCTCTGATTACTGCCCTCATTTTTCTATCAGTCAGAAAATTTTTCATCCATGATAGAAGCTTACCTGTCACCCCTCCAATATTTTCCAGTTTCCAGAACAACCTCTTATGTGGAACTCTGTCAAAGCCTTTTTTAGGTCCAGATAGATGCAGTCAACCCAACCATCTCTTTCTTGTAATATCTCTGTGGCTCGATCATAGAAACTGAGTAAATTCGATACACAGGATCTTCCAGATCGAAAACCATACTGTCTGTCTGATATTATATCATTTCTCTCCAGGTGTTCTACCCATTTAGTTTTGATTAGCTTTTCCAATACTTTCACTATTACACTTGTCAATGATACAGGTCTATAATTGAGAGGGTCTTCCCTGCTGCCACTTTTGTAGATTGGAACTATGTTAGCCTGTTTCCACACGTCTGCTACGATTCCTGTACACAGGGATGCCTGAAAGATCAGGTGAAGTGGAATGCTGAGCTCAGATGCACATTCTCTCAGAACCCATGGTGAAACGCCATCTGGGCCAGCTGCTTTGTTCTTCCCGAGCTCCTTTAGCATATTTTCCACTTCATCTCTAGACACCTCTATCCGCTCTATGTTGTTCTCTGGAATTCTTATTGTGTCTGGTTCTCTGAAGATTTCATTTTGTACAAACACACTTTGGAACTTTTCATTTAATGTTTCACACATTTCCTTTTCATTTTCCATGAATCTGTTTCCCATTTTCAACCTCTGGATATTATCCTTTACCTGCAATTTGTTGTTTATGAATTTGTAGAATAGGCCCGGTTCTGTTTTACATTTATCTGCTATCCCTTTTTCAAAATTTCTTTCTGCCTCTCTCCTTACTGCTGTATAGTTGTTTCTCACATCTTTGTATCGCTGGTATGTTTGGAGGTTTGGCCTCTTCCTATACTGATTCCATTTTTGTGTCTTTTGGTCTCTTGCCCTCTCACAATTTGTACAGGTTCCTGAGCCTATTGGGCTCTATCATATCTACACTTGAAACTGTGTATGGAGTCAGCCTCCACCACATCACTGCGTAATGCATTCCATTTGTCAACCACTCTGACACTAAAAAAGTTCTTTCTAATATCTCTGTGGCTCATTTGGGCACTCAGTTTCCACCTGTGTCCCCTAGTGCGTGTGCCCCTTGTGTTAAACAGCCTGTCTTTATCAACCCTGTCAATTCCCTTGAGGATCTTGAATGTGGTGATCATGTTCCCCCTAAGTGTATGACGTCATCAGCGAATGTGTTTCTGGAGGAATGTCTGGGGCAACATTACAGTGTGCTGGTTTTAGGCAATCGATGGAGATATTTTCCGGCTTGCCTTGGCGTTCGATGGTGAAGAACTTTGGTGAAGAACTGTAGAGGGCGTTGGACAACGTCGATTCTAACATGTGTTCAGTTGTGTGGCGCTCATGAAGTACATATGTAGCACGTGTTGTCAGTTGGCGTGGTGGTGGTGGCCGAATGCTTGTCATGGCCGCCCATAATTTCTGGATAAAAGTGGGGGTCCAGGGGTGTTACGAGTGGCATCAGAGTTATATTTGCTGCAGATCAGGGTCTTCTGTAGGGCCTTGCTGATAATAAAATAGTCCATCTGGGCTGGGTTTTGCCTGACCTGGTTTATGGTGGGTTGAGGGAGTTCATCGGCTATAATGTTGTTAGTTCCTTTGACATGGCTGATATCCAAGGTAAATTGGGAGATAAATCCCAGGTGATGGGCTACTCAAGGAGAGTGAGAATCACCTTGTCCATCAGTGTATATGTGAGGGGGTTAGTGATCTGTGAGGATGTAGAATTCTTGCTCCTCAGGGAAGTGCCAGAATTGTTGGATGGCTGCGTAGAAGGCAAGCAGTTTCCTATCGAAAGTGCTGTTCTTCTCTTCAGTGGGTGACGGGCCCTCTGAAAAGAATGCAATTGGGTGCCATATTCCTTCACTGAGCTGTTGTAGTATAGCATCAGTACCTGTGTTGAAAGCATAAATAGAGAGATTGTTGGTAGCTTCAGACACTGGGTGTGCGAGCAAGGTTAATTCCACCAGCATGCATTTTATGTCGGTGAATGCTGTCTTTGCTTGGGAATGAGAACCAGGGCGTGGGTTCCACACGTATGGACAGACATAACATTGGCATCACGTAAGTCCAAACCAGGAGATCAGGTTGGTTTGATCAGAAGGGGAAGGGAATACACTAGGTGCTGCACCTGTGTCAACAAGGAAACGGTGTTTCATTATGACATCAGATATGTAGTGTAGTGTTTGAAATGGCGGGGTTACTGGCCCGTTAGCAGTCCCTGCCAAAGTAGTTTCCCAACCAGGAACATGGAGCCCTATAGTTGTGGGCTTGGTATCCGAACCTCTGGTGATAAGAACAAAGTTCTCCTCGGTGTCCTTGTGGTCGTCTAGGGTCTGATGCTGGATTCTCGTGGTACATCCTTCCTGGCAAAAGAAATGTTGGTTTTGGAGGATGTTGAGTTGTTGGGTGTCTAGTCTGCTGTGTATCACTGAGGTGAAACATCGTAGTGTTATCAGACGTCGTATAAAGCTGGTCTGCCAGTGTAACCAGCTGTACTAATGGGGGTATCGTCATCCATACTGAATAGGGCTGCTTGAATGTGTTTTAGACAGAGTTGTATCCAGGGTGATCACACAATCTCGCTGGGGGCTGGGCCAGATGCAGTATGCATTACATACTGAATATGCTGCAGAAGCTGGGCTGGTATTTTGTCTGCTAACTTTTTGTCAGCAAGGAGTTGATCCCATTGTTTAATGTGGTGTTTTATTGCTGCCTGTAGAAGAACAGCCTTCATTGTGGTGTACATCCTGGTGTGTAGTGATGGGGCATAGATGACAGTGGAGGCCTCTGTGGGAAGTGTTGGCAGGGTACAGGCATATCGGGGGTTGTACATATGTATGTATCAGTTGTAATTTCATGGTGGTCGAAAATAGCCTCCATCTGTATGAACCAAAATTTTGGTTCATCTGCGTTGTATACTGGAAACCCGGTGGATAAATCCATGACAAAGTTCTAGTTACCTTTTGTTTGTGACTAGGTGTTCTTTTCACTCACTGGGTCACCAATGTAACGTACGATTATGTTATGTTGTTTGGTTGATTAGATACAAGGAGGTGAAGAGAATGAATTAAGGGATACTCATAACATGCAACACAATCAGGAAGAGCATTGATAAACTAAAAGACTCAAAAGCCCAAGGTGTGGATGGATTTCAATCCAAAGTCGTAAAGGAACTGGCAAATGTACTATGCATACCACTAAAACTCCTTTTCAGAAAATCCCTGGACTAAGGGATAGTTCCCCTGGATTGGAAATCTCCAAATGTTACCCCCCATTTTCAAAAAAGACACAACGTTTTTCTTAAATTACGTCATTATGGAGTCATCACTCCCTCCCATATATTCAGTCTTACGTTAGTGACAGGCTCTAGTATATTTATGTGAATGATTCCATTTCTCCCACCCTGCCCATTAACATTGGTGTTCCACAAGGCAGCATACCTGGCCCTCTCCTCTTTCTCATCTACATTAATAACCTTCCAAATGCCTCTCAACACCTCAACCCAATTTTATTTGCTGATGACACAACCTTTATTTTCTCCAGTCCTAACCATCTTACTCTGAATGATACAGTGAATACTGAACTAAATAAAGTCCATCTTTGGCTAACTGCTAACAAACTCACCCTTAATGAGTGAGTTTGTTCTACTACCCAAAATCATCTACGTCTTCTAATTACTCAACACAAATCTGCTATTAGAACAATAACAAACTCTGGCCCCAGACAGCACTCGGCACCGTTACTTAAATCTTTGAATATGTTAGATATAAAGTCACTGCACATTCTCTTAAGGGACTCTATTATTTAAAATTCTGAACTGTTATGTCAATCCTGACCTAAAACACTTCCTAGAAGGTTGTAACAGAACCCATGGACAGCACACCAGAAACAAAATACCTATTTGATATTCCAAGAGTGTGACTTAACCCAATTAGAAATGCTCTGCAAATCAAGGGACCCAGAATGTGGAATGACCTTCCCAATCACGTCTAAGGCTGTACCTCTCTCAACCAGTTTAAGAGAAAAACTAAGTACTACCTAATAAACTCTAGATAACCTACCTTACCTCCTAAATGTCAACCCATGTCTTGCTATTTTCTAACAATACTGTTTGTTGACCAACTTGTATAAATACTGATTTCTGCCATTTTTTTTTCGTCCTCCCTTTTTCAACTCAATTTATGCTTTGATCTCAATTAGTATTAAGTTTTAGTCTTAAGTGTTTTTTCCCACACCTTGCCCAAAATGCTGTGCATATTAGTGGCTTTAGGCATTGTATGTACTAGCTTTATCTATAATTCCAACATTATGTTTGTAACTCATCTTGTATGTATGTACTTTTACCTGAATAAACATTTGATTTGATTTGTTCACTTCAAGGTGTCTTGTTGGGAATATGGAGTCCATGGCTTGTGAAAGGTGTATGGTTCTTGTATGGTTCTTGCCTCAGTGGTTTCATTATACAGAGTCTCTCTTAAAGTTTAGAACAAGCTGGGAAAAGTAGTTCTGTATTTCCTGGTAAATCATGGCATAAAAGGGGGTCTGGTCTCTGGATTATTTAATCTCTGGTTATATAACCTGGAGACACGGAAAAGAAATTGATTATTCAACCAGAGTTAAGTTTCAAATCAGCTTGGATAATCTAAAATACATTACAATGAACTGTACCTATATAAACACAAAGTTTCCTTGGGATGACTAAAAATAGCTTCATGATCAATTTATCATCATAACAGATCCTCGCTACAAGCAGCATCTGGGATGTCCGTCATCAAACCTCTCCAGCTCCTGGCCTCGCAGCTCTGCATATTTGGTAGGTAATAATAATACTTTGCAGTATTATAAATAGTACAAGTATCAATCAATCTTCCATACATGATATACAGTTGAAAAAACAATTATAACTGTAATTTTATTAATTTGCTTTTATATTTTATTTGTTAATTACCTGTATGACATTTATGTATTAACCACATTCTACATATTAGTGGCTTTATATAATGTACATTTATTATCTGTGAATTCTCCACTGTATCATGTATGAATTTGTATACAAATAAAATAATAATAATAACAAATATTTTTATTATTATTATTATTATTATTATTATTATTATTATTATTATTATTATTATTATTATTATTATTATCCTCTAATCTTCCTGAGGAGCTTTTCCAGATCCATTTTAAACTGCATTACTGCCCTGGCTTTTACAGTTTCAGTGTTTATTTTTGTAGCAATATATTGCATTTTAGGTGTTAACCCTTTTGCTATATATCCTGGTTATAGGAAACAATGGGCCTAGTGCTTGGGGGAAAAAATCTAATTAGTACTGTACTGTATTGTTAAAATGCATTCCTGATCACAGACAAAAATAAGACACCCTGGCTGTAGTGGAACGGAGAAAACTTACAATAACATTACTTACTCATGTTCGCTCCTACAGTGAGCATCCCTGAGAGGTCACGTGGGCCATTCAAATTGCAGGAATTGCCGCAAATATATTTGTCACTAATCTACTTGTTCACTATTTTTCTGGGGGGAGCCTCTTCGGCTCCCCGGAGCTTATTCAGGCTGATATGCTAATGTCAGACTTTGGCATCAGTCATGTGAATGGAGTTCTATGGGCCTACCGGGGACCACAAGCCAGAACCTGGCCCCCTCAGAGAGGCAAGGGGGGGCAATGGCCTATAGAAACCCCCGTGTGGTTGGAAGCATTCTATGTCTGCCATCGACCGGGTCAGGCACCCAGAAAAGTAAGTGTCCCAAAACAAACCCCTATTCTGGTGAAAATTGCTACCACAAGCCAAACAAGTTTATAGAACTCCCCTAAAAGAAACGAGCAAACGATCATGACATCACACGTCGCCGTGCCGCTGTCTGCGCAGCTACTCTCTCCCCGGGAGGGGGAAGGGGGAAGGGGGAGCCCCAGACCTACTGCGCCAGCTATCCACCATCAGTTCTTCGGCTGATGCTAGAGGCTGAGGTCGTGTGCTCCGGCTCCGGTGGTTGTTTCCGCACTGTACCTAGAGTGTGGTGACTGTCTTCTAGGTGCTGTGTGAGCCGGAAGTGATTCTCCAGTACTCAGGCTGCATGTGCCTAGGGTTTCCTTCCCTAGGTGCCCTGTAAGTACTTGGGTTCTGCCCCTGCTAGGCCGTTTACTGCTTGGTTTTCAGCTCTTTGTGTGTTGGGGTGTTCTGTCTCCCTTGTTCGCCTTAAGGTAAGGGGCAGTTTGCACTGGTGGGGCACAGGGTACTGCGCAACTTGTTTTCACCAATCATGGCGGCCGGCTCTGTTCCACCTGGGTACGCTGTCCTTTTGCGAGGTTTTCTTTTTTCTTTTTGTTTGTCTGCCTGGTGGGGGGAGTCTGCCTTCGTTCTTGCTTCCTGTGTCCCCTGTGTACTGAGTGTTCTTCCATCTTCTGATGCTTTCCCGTGCTAGGTCCCCGAGGGTTCAGTTCTTAGAAGGTTGTTTAGTAGACTTGAAGTGCCACTTGCCTGTGGTGTATGGCGTCATCCGTCATCGCGCCACTGTCTACGCAGCCCCAGACCTACCGCACCGGCGATCCACACCCCAGTTCTTGAGGCTGATGCTATTGGCTCGGTTGTGTGCTCTGGCTCCAGTATTTTTGCGGCCCTGTGCCTTGTGTGTGGCTGCTGTACTCCAGGGGTGCGAGAGCCCGGAGTTATTCCTCAGTACTCGGGCTGCATGCGCCTAGGGTTCCCTTCCCTAGGTGCCTTGTAAGTACTGCCCTTGGAGCTTGGGGTTACCTTTCACAAGTTCCTCGGGGTCTGCCTCTGTGTGTCCGTTTTACTGCTCAGTTTCTCGGCCGCTCTTTGGGTACTTGGGGGTTTTGTCTCCCCTAGTTAACCTTAGGGTAAGAGGCAGTTTTTGCACTGCTAAGGGGCGCAGGGTGCTGTGCAGCTAGTTGTCACCTATCACAGTGGCTGGCTCTGTTCCTTGGGGTACGTTGTCCTCTTGCAGGGTTTTGTTTTTATTTTTATTTTTGCCTTGGTGGGGGTTCTGCCCTATTTGTCACTGGTTTTAGGTCTCACCCTGATACTTGGTGGTTCCCCCTGCTTGGTCTCCGTGAGTGTACACATCCCTAGGGTTCAGCCTTAGACAGTTTGTTTGGTAGTTTTGGGTGCTGGTTAGCAGTACCCTGCCTGGGTTTACCTGAGCGTGAGTCCTCTTCAAGTAAATGCTCAGGACCCTGGGAATCCCCTAGGGGACGCGTGGGTCTGATGGATGTGACCCCGGGTTCCCCCCTCGTTTCGTGCGAGCTTGAGGGTTGTTCGGTCCCCTTGCCTCAGGGCAACCATCACTGTTTTTGCCTCCGTCACGCAGCCTGTTGGGTCGGTGACACTTTCAACCCTGAGTCCTGTGAGTATTGTTGCTTGCTGGTGACTCAATTTACCCAATCAATGGATGATAATCTTCGGGTGCAGGCTGCGCAGGCATTGCATTCTAGGTTTCAGTTGTTGCAACGTGCTAGGTTGGTTGCTCACCCGGATGCCCCGCGGCTGCCCCGTTTTGCTTATAGGAACCTGGACTTGGGGATGGGGGTCGCTTCAACCCTGGTTCAGTCCGCACCTCCTAGTCCTTCCCCACCTGTTGTTTGTTCTGGTCCCCCTCCCCAGCTTCCAGCCCCGAAACGTCTGAGGATTTCAGAGTCGGGGCAGGGGTTAGTTGGTCTTGAGACTCGGGCAACCTCGGGGGATGCCCCTTCCGGTGTGGCGACGGAGGCATTCGAGTCTCCTCCCCTGGCCGAAACCTCTGGGTCTGACCAGTAGGCCTCATTCTATCCGGCTTCTACGGCTGTGCCGGCCTTGTCTAGTGGGGTCGGTGCTTGGGGGGGAGGACTCGGCCCCGGGTCCTGCTGAAGAGGACCCTGGGGCTGGGGAGGGGCTGACTTGGGGGCCTTGGGGGCCTTGGGCTCCGCTGGACCCCGCCTGAGTTTTTTTACCCTCTGAGCGGGGCTTACTGTTACAAGGAGTGTTTTTTTTTTCCTCCCTCTGCGTACGAGTGGGATTTGGTGTCTGCCCCTCCCCTGGTTCGGTTCCGTGTTCCCCCTGGTGCTTCGGATCCGTCTTTCCGGAAGTTTTCGGTTTATTGCATCCAACCTGCTGCGGTGCAGGTGGCCCTTGCGGCAAACCTCCTGTGTGACCCGGATTATGCCTCGGCAATGGATCCCTCGGCTTTCAAGTTTGGGACTTCGTTCCCTTTCTGGCTCCATTACTAGGTTCCGGAGTCGTCCTGGCTGGCAGACTGTCCTGTCTTTGCCTTGGAGGCTTGGCACTCCTTCTGCCGTTCCCACACGCTTGAGTGGCAAGAGGCTTCGACGGTGCTTCAGGTTTTCCTGGGGGGCGACCTTGAGCACCTCAATGAGTGCTTGTTTGCTCCTGCCCTTCCCTGGGATGTTGGTGTCATCCAGCTCTGTGTGCAGGTTCCCCTCCTTTCGGCGGTGCAGGTGGCGGAGGACTTGTGCTCTCGGGACCTTTTGGTTGCGGCCTTGTGCTTCTTTTCCTTCCTGGAGCTGTCTTCTGACTGGCTCACGGAGGATGTGGGGGCACTTGGGGCTGTTCCTGGGTCTGGCGCCTTGGCCTCAGCGGCTCGCTTGTCGGCTGCCTTGCTGAAGCTTTTCGTGCTGATCTTGCAGGATGCGGCGGCTCTGCTTCCTGAGAGATGGTGCTTGCCTCCTCTGTGGAATCTGCTTGGGCCTTGGCTCTTAGGATGTCTTCCCCTTTTTGGCCTCTCTTGTTTGAGGCTTCAGCCTTTGCGCAGTTTATTCAGGCTGCTTCGGCTTCTTGCTGTCCTATGTCGGACTTGCTGGTTCTCCGGGGGTTCCGTGGTGGGGCTTCCCAGAAGGGTTGTGCTAAGGCTCTGGGTTCCTCTTGTCGTGTTAGGCCACTGGTGTCAGGTTTGGGTTCGGCTCCTCCTTCGGACCCGCCTTCGTTTGGTCGGCGCGGTGTTTGCTCTGTGCGAGGTTCTGGGTCTCATAAGAGGTGTCGGCCCTTTCGCGGTTCGCCCCATTGACGGGGTGATGGGGGGTAGGCTTGCGTTGTTCGCTCACGTCCGGTCCCACGATTTGTGGGTGTTTCGGGTCATTTCGCACAGCCCTTTGGTGGCGTTGGGTTGCCCCTCCCCCAGTGGGGGGGTGGTTAGGGGCTGGCGGTAAGGCTTCTTTCCCTGCGATCTGTCAGGTCATCTTGGAGTGGGTTCGCCTGGGTGTGGTCGAAACAACGACATCCCTCAGATGGGGTTCCTGTCTGTTTCCAGTCCCGAAACGGGACTGCACGGACCTGAGATTCATTCTGGACTTGTCCCGTGTGAACCTCTGGGTTCATTGCCCCTCCTTTCAGATGACCACGCCGTCCCAGGTTCGGCTCCTGTTGGAGCCGGGTGCTTGGATGGTGTCCCTGGACCTCCGGGATGCTTATTGGCATGTCCCGGTTCATCCGGGGTTCAGGGACTGGCTCGGTTTTGTTGTGGGGCTTCATGCTTCTTACAACAATGTTGTCTTCCATTCAGTTTAAACCTGGCACCTTGCGTTTTCGCACTCCTCACGTGGGTCGTGGTGACCCGTCTGTGTCTCTTAGGTGTTCGGATGTTGGCCTGAACTCCCCGATGCTGATCTACCCGCCGGATCGGGTTTGGCTTCGTCGGCTGTTCTGGTTCCTTTGGGGACGTCCCTTCCGCCTCTCTCGCGATCGCTGGGTTCGGACCCCAGGGGCTTTGCATCAGTTGCTGCGTCACCGGCTTCCTCTTTGTGTTTTTCGAGGTTCAGTGCCTTGGCGCCTACCTGAGCCCTCGCTCAATGTGTTCACAAATGTGTTCAGCAGTCTCCGTGGTGTAGTGGTAAGACACTCGCCTGGCGTTCCGCGAGCGCTATGTCATGGGTTCGTATCCTGGCCGGGGAGGATTTACTGGGCGCAATTCCTTAACTGTAGCCTCTGTTTAACGCAACAGTAAAATGTGTACTTGGATGAAAAAACGATTCTTCGCGGCAGGGGATCGTATTCCAGGGACCATAGGATTAAGGACTTGCCCGAAACGCTACGCGTACTAGTGGCTGTACAAGAATGTAACAACTCTTGTATATATCTCAAAAAAAAAAAAAAAAAAAAAAAAAAAAAAAAAAAAAAAAAAAAAAAAAAAAAAAAAAGCGTCGTCTCTCAGCTGGGGCTTTGTGACCAGTGCTCACCAGGCTGGCCAGGGTCGATGGGGTCCGTCCTCCCGTCGAGCCCACAGTACTGTGCGGGAGTTCGCGGCGGTGTGGTTTGCTCTTCGGAGGATTCGAGTTGCCCACGGGTCGACGATCTGGCTCCATTTGGACTGCTCCCCGGTGGTTCATTGTCTGAACCAGGGGGTTCGATGCGGTCCTTGGCTCTTTGGTGCTGGTCGCTTCGGGTAACTCGTCTGCTGAGTTCTCGGGGTTTGGCTCTCCTGGCAGTTCACGTGCAGGGAGTGTCCAACGTCTTGACTGACGGCCAGTCTCGTTTTGTTCTCCCTCTCCACGGAATGGACGGTCGATGCTGACTCCTTCCGCTGGCTTTGCCAGACATTCGGATGCCCCGAGATGGACCTCTTCGCGTTGACGTGGTCACGGCGCTTTCCCCTGTATGTGGCTCCCTTTCCCAACTGCAAGGCCGTCGGGGTTGACGCCTTTTGGCAGGACAGGTCGAAGTGGGGGTTCCTGTACCTCTTTTCCCCAGTTCAGCTGTTGCTCCAGGTTCTGATTCGCTTAGGGACTTACCAGGGAAGAGTTGTCCTCTTGGCCCCTTGGTGGCCGGCCCAGCTGTGGTTTCAGGCGCTGCTTGCTCGGTGCCCGAACCCGGAGGTTTTTCCACGGCTCCGCCTCTTTCAGCAGATCGGCCCGGTACGTCACGTGGCTGGTTCGATCTTCTCCTCGAGTCTTTGCGTATGGTATTTTTGACTCGAGTTTATCATCATCTCTATGGTGATCAGGTGGCTTCCTTATTAGTGTCCCACCTGTGGGCTTCGTCTCAGCGGCAGTATGAAGTTCCCTTGCGGTCCTTCCGGTTCTTCTTACATCTTCGTCGTTGTACTTCGTTTTCTGTTAGGCTGGTGTTGTCCTTTCTCTCTCTTGGTTGTTCCAGGATCATCATCTTATGTCTAACACTATCGCCTCGTATTGTGCGGTGCTGGCGGAACCACTTCAGCTTGCTTTCGGTATTGATGTCATGTCTGGGCCGTTTCGCAAGCTGTCTCAGGCTTTGTTTCACCTCCGGCCTGCTCATGCGCCACCTGAGCCGTCCTGGTCTTTGGACAGAGTGCTCTCTTTTCTTTCTTCTCCTCGTTTTGTTGTGGCCCCCTCGGTTCCAGATTGTTTTTCGAAGGCTCTTTTCCTGTTGGCATTGGCCTCTGGGGGTCGGGTGGGTGAGCTTCATGCTCTCCTCCGGTGTAGAGGTTTCTGCTCCTTTGGTCAGGGTGATCGATTTGTTCGTCTGCAGCCTTCTCCTTCTTTTCTGGCGAAGAATGAGACTGCTGCATTCCGGAGGGGCCCTTGGGTTGTTGATGCTTGGTTGGTTCGGCCGGGGGTGCATCATGTTTTGTGTCCGGTTGCGGCTCTCCACCGTTATTTGCGCACCACGGCTTCCATGTTCGTGGATGCGCTTTGGGTTGATCCGGTTTCCCTTCTTCCCTGTTCGAGGATGTGGGTCTCCCAGGTCGTCTGCAGGGTTATTAAGGCTAGCCAGCCTGCAGTCTATCCCCTTGCCCATGACGTCCGCAAGTTTGCAGCTCTTGCTGCCATCTTTGGCAATATGTCCTGGGCTGACATTCGGGCGCGGTGATTTTGGCGGTCGAACAAAGTCCTGGCTGCTCATTACCTTGAGCAGCCAGGACTTTGAGCAGACGTTCATGGGCCCGGTCGGGCCTGTGTCGCTTTGAGTCGGCGGATGCAGCCAGTTGTCTCGACTTCGGGTTGAGGAGTGAGCAGCAACCGCCTCCCGGGTATGTCCCTATTCTTTTCCTCTGTGGGTAGTTAGCTCCGGGGAGCCGTAGGGGCTCCGCCCTAGAAAACCAGCGTTGGATGTAATGAAATGCCATTTTCTGGGTGAGTCCCGGAGGCTCCCCGGCATCCCTCCCTCTTTCCGGTCTGTGTTTTTTTCGCATGTTTTTGACATCCAGCCTCAGAACTGGGGTGTGGATCGCTGGTGCGGTAGGTCTGGGGCTGTCCCTTCCCCCTCCCCAGGATGGGGAGGGGCTGCACAGACAGCAGCGCGACGACAGATGACGTTATACTAGTTTGCTCATTTTTGTTTGGGGAGTTCTATCCACTCTTTTGGTTTTTGGTTTCAATTTTCACTAGAATAGGGGTTTGTTTTGGAATGCCTACCTTTCTGGGTGCCTAACCCGGTCGATGGCAAACATAGAATGCTTCCAATTACACGAGGGTTTCAATAGGCCATTGCTTCCCTCGCCTCTCTAGAGGGGGGCCAGGTTCTGGCTCGTGGTCCCTGGTAGGCCCATAAGAACTCCATACACATGACTGATGCCAAAGTCTGACATTAGCATATCAGCCTAGTAAGCTCCGGGGAGTCTCCGGGACTCGCCCAGAAAATGGTGTTTCATTACATTCAGCGCTGGGTTTTTTTTATGGATTCAAGGCTTCATTTTCTGTGACCCTCCATTTGTCTGTAAAGCTTTGCTGACTTTCTGGAGGCTGCTTCTTGTGGGGTGGTGGATTGTCACCTGTTCCCGGTACCTCTCTGAGGGTGACCTGTTCTGGCTCTGGGCCCTGGTAGGCCAAACAGAACTTCTGTGACTGATGTGACCATTTAGTATGTAGCAATCTCACCAAGATAGCTTTAGAGACCCACTGGGATTATTCAGAAAATAATTGTACTCTTTCCACAGGGATGATTATAATGTACCTGAATAACTGTACACATATTTTATGGAGGCTGATAATTATATATATTTCTTAATTTGCAGGGAACTGGGCGTGGCAAAATACGAGTAAGTTCTTCCCCAAAAGCATCACCTGGCAGAGGGAAACGAAATGGTGAAAGTCGTAAGTGTCGCAAAGTATATGGCATGGAACAGCGTGATCTTTGGTGCACACAGTGCAAGTGGAAAAAAGCTTGTAGTCGCTTTGGAGAGTGAATGATCTCTCAGTCCTCGGCATGATCAGTGTGCTCAATTATGCAGTTTAGAAACAAAAAATACATTTTGATGCATAATCAATAATTACCATACTGTATATTGAAAATGAGTCATCACAAGGATTGTGAGAGCACAAATTTGTTGTGATTCCCTGGAAACACTAATAGTAAGAGAAGGGATAAAAAAATCACTATGCAAGTAAGTGTTGCCATAATTTTTTTCAAGTGTTCACTGCAGAGAAGAAATAGTGTTAAGGTTGGTGATCATTAAATTTTGTTTCAGCAATCTAAGTATGACATTCATTGATGGCTCAATATAAGGTCTGATACCATCAGCTAGTGCATGGTCTTTTGATGATGGTAAACATGAATGTATCAGAACAGTAGACTGGGATAGAATAGTTTCTCTAATCCCAGGAGCAAGCCTACATTATATATAGTATATACAGTATACATAAAATATATACAGTATATACAGTATACATAAAATATATACAGTATATGTGACATATATGTGCAGTATATCATTGCACATTATTGAGAGTGATTTACCACAAACTAAAAGCTAATGAAATGGTAATTGGTTTGAACATAAGAGTAGTGGTTGATGATTCAGGAGTGAACTCTGCTGTGATGTCAACTTAAAGTGGCAAGAACACACTCAAATGTCTTAAAAGGTGGTGAATACTTGACTTCATAAAACAGTTTCACATAAAAACACAGAATGTGGAAATGGAACGATTACAATGAGTGTGTAATGTTGTAATAAAGCAAGGCTTCCAGATCTCCCGCACCCATTATGTGAACACCAGGTTAAAACCACTGGTTTGTATACATAATTATGCAACAGATAATATAATTTGTATATCCAGCTTAAATGCTGTGTTTTAAATTTAAGGCAAGGGTCTTTCCGTGTATGTAATTGTATTTTAGCCAGAGTGAAGTGCGGATGAGGCAAGCCATAGGTGATGAGTAAATCTGAATGTTCAGAATAAATTTTTACACAAAGTATGCATACATTTTTTGTGTAATACCAAGTAGAATTCATGACAGCAATACTGTACTTCCTGTTCTACACTACAGGAAATATCACCTATGCTTCCAAGTCCTATAATATTACTTTTATGTTATATTTTCAGGTGTAAAGTGTTTGATAAGCATATAATGCAAGCACTTGAAATGTACAAACAAAAGTCATGATAATCTTGTGATGCTCACATGTCTGTGCAACTTTAAGTATAGAGTGGTTGAAGGCAGGAGAGTGCTCAGAGATATTTCACAAAATTTTAATGTACTGATATTATGTGTTTCCCACATTCTCAACTAATCATGTGGTTCAGTAATGAACTATCTGCTTCAATAACTACCAGTCATTATATGCCATTGTTGAACTGTGGAATTACTTGTTTTGTTCAGTGCCATGTGAGTTCCGCTGTGCTCTGGTAATATTAATACCTTAATCAGCAAGCATCAGCCCTGCTTGACAAATTGTTTAATTCTTTTGTAGTAAAGTATTTCGCTAGGTATCTCAAGGAACGGATTGCCGTGGACTCACATTGCTAGCATCAAGTTATGGAATTGTTTGATGCTTCAAAGGTTATAGTTTATTAAAGTTGAATAAATTGCCATGATATACTGCTTATGTACTTATTCAAGGACAAAATGTTTGTCACAAAGATGTTATTTCATCTAAAATAAACTCTTTGAAGCATGTTTATGGAGCACTCTCTAGTCTGCTCTCAGTGTAACATTGTTACTGCAGCATTAAATCAATTTCAAATGTTCTTTGTAAACTTCTAGACCTAGCAAACTTGAGATTGTTTTATGGTAAAAAAGAGGAAAGAATAGATAAGATTATCTATGGCAACATATCAGTCAGGTGATGAAGAGCATTCTTGAAAAGATATTCATCTTTAACTGAGTTGGTCTTAATATTATTGATATTAAAACAATAAGGTTTGGAAATAACTTTTGATCATTTATTTAAGAATACTTTACTATAATTTGCCATATTTAGTGATTTTATTTTATAGATGGCATTTCTTTTATACTTTTTCTTAAATATTTATCCATGACATTTAATTGATTATAAGGGAGCATGTCATTGAAGCAATCACAGCACGCACGTGCAAACAAAATTTGAACACGCCTTCCTGATACCGTAGCAATAATGATTGTTATTAATTAAATATTTATATAATTTATATACCTGTTATGATAATGTATGAAATTATGTTTTTAGAGAATTATATTTAATATGCAAGATTTAATTACGGTCCAGTATAAAAAAATCTATTGTACTAAAATACTGGATTTATATTGTTTTATAGTGAATATTACAAATTTAGACATGGATCTTGGTCATCCCTAAATTTTTTTTCTGTTACTCAACTTGTTAATTGTAATCATTACTTCAGGAGCAAGACAGCATAATCTTTATGTATAGTAATAATTAAATGCTTGCATCTAATTTTCCACATAATCACTGGCGATAAAATATGCTGGTGATAGTGTTGGGCCAATGTTATTGGGATAAGAAAACTGCACTGGCATGCAAATGGAGTGATAAGTTTAATACGGTATTCCTAAGTAAGATCTCATGAATGAGAAGCAGCTGCTCACATGGACACCAGCATATAAGACCAGGGCAGCTCACAGTTCACCTAGCCTGTAACTAGGACTTTCCTCAAGATTGTATGGTACTATACCCCCAACATTGCCTGTTATTTAGCATGATCCTTACCATCTACCAGTGAAGATGCACGCAGCTCAAACCGTCCGCTGGTGGCTGTGGCTCACTCTGCACTGGTGGCTTTGTCTCTCCACCACTGAAAATGGACTGGACCTCTAGTGAATATGACTATAATGAAATTACCTCCATTGATAAATATGACTATACCTGTATTGGTGAACATAGTTTGGGCATTCTACTAGTGAATATCAAGACCCTCTACCACTGGTGAACAGGGTCTGAACTCCTATGGGTATTATGGCTTATATTGTTCACTAATAAATGTTGCCTAAACTGCCCACTGGTGAACACAGCATAAGTCATCTCAACTGTACAGTTCACCATATTCACTTAGACCATTTATTGCTGGATATGACCAGTGGACATGGCCAGGACCTTCCACCAGTAGACATGGCCAGGACCTTCCACCAGTAGACATGGCCAGGACCTTCCACCAGTAGACATGGCCAGAACCTTCCACCAGTAGACATGGCCAGGACCTTCCACCAGTAGACATGGCCAGGACCTTCCACCAGTAGACATGGCCAGGACCTTCCACCAGTAGACATGGCCAGGACCTTCCACCAGTAGACATGGCCAGGACCTTCTACCAGTGGACATGGCCAGGACCTTCTACCAGTAGACATGGCCAGGACCTTCTACCAGTAGACATGGCCAGGACCTTCTACCAGTGGACATGGCCAGGACCTTCTACCAGTAGACATGGCCAGGACCTTCCACCAGTGGACATGGCCAGGACCTTCTACCAGTGGACATGGCCAGGACCTTCTACCAGTAGACATGGCCAGGACCTTCTACCAGTAGACATGGCCAGGATCTTCTACCAGTAGACATGGCCAGGACCTTCTACCAGTAGACATGGCCAGGACCTTCTACCAGTAGACATGGCCAGGACCTTCTACCAGTAGACATGGCCAGGACCTTCTACCAGTGGACATGGCCAGGACCTTCTACCAGTAGACATGGCCAGGACCTTCTACCAGGGGACATGGCCAGGACCTTCTACCAGGGGACATGGCCAGGACCTTCCACCAGTAGACATGGCCAGGACATCCACCAGGGGACATGGCCAGGACATCCACCAGGGGACATGGCCAGGACATCCACCAGGGGACATGGCCAGGACATCCACCAGTGACCACAGTTTCACTATATATACCACTGCCAATTTTTTCACGGCATTATCAATTGAATGTTGTGTTGTGATTTTTTTATCAGTTTTTCATTGTTCCTTTTTTTCATTTATGTTGCATATCATTAACTTAGAAATAAATGTGAAAGTACATAAAGAAATATTGAGAGGCTATATAATGCTCATTGTGTTGAGGTAGTTGGACGAAACAGGTTTAAGGGAACCCTTCTTGTGATCAGTCTTTCAATGCCCAAATTAAATATGCATTATAGTCAGTCTGGTTAGTTTTCGGTCATTCATATTTGCATTTTTCAAATATTGTATAGAAGTAGTAGTACACGTCAGAGCTTTAGGATATAAAATACCCGGTGCATTCAGATTTGCCCATATACAATATGGATATAAAGTTGCATATAATATAGCCAGATATTTATTGTCCTAAGCTGATGATACATAATCATTAATAACAGAGGTGAGATCAAGTCCACTACCAAATGTGTGCTTTAAGTAGATTTTATAACAAATGATCTCTAAATATTTAGAGTTAGATATTGTATCATTTATGGAGAATATATAGAATTAATATATTTCATTTAAAAATACAGAAAGGGCTCTCTTCACTTCTGGTGCTAATGTTGCCATAAGTAAAAAAAAAACTAGAAAAATGTCCACTTCATTTGTGTGCAAACCATTCAGTAATTACTATGTAAAAAGAACATTTGATTTATCAATATCAAAATATGTAACAAAATGGCCTTGGACTGCACAAATGTTTATTAAAAGAAATCTCACATATTGGGTATTAGACTGTACGTACAGTAATGTCAGTTGATAATGTATTTTTTTCCATCAATTTTGTACATGAGATATGGACACACGTATCTTGTGAAGAGTCTGCCAACCCTAGTCTAAGAATCAGAATAACTTTTAAACAAATACTGTATTGTACTTGTAATTAATTCATAGTGATTAAACAAGAATGTCAATTTAGGAATATATAATGATATTTTTTCTGAACATTGAATAGTCACTGTTAGTTAATACAAACTAGGTAGTGAAAAATCTACCTCATCCACAGTAGTCCCAAGTAGCCAAAGGCAAGATGGGCTGAGAGTTAGGGTGGTGGCACTGTGTATATTTCAAGGACTACCTGTCTTTCATTTGTATTAAACATGTTTGTTTAAAAACAACAAGCCGCACGATTGCCTATGCAATAGGAGACGGACACCTTGTGGGACATCTCACATTACAAATACTGTAATATACATTTTTTATGCCATTGCCAAGAAGTAAACCAAGGACCTCAATACTGAAAGTGTAATTTGATATTTTATGCCATAGTACAAAGTATTTTATGATGTCTTAATTTTTACAAAGCTTTTGCTAATTGCCACACACAATTTTTGTGTTTAGAGTTGTAAGACTTATAAAAAAGAGTTTATTGATGTATAATCCATTTTTATCCATGTATTGTATGTGTTGTACATATTCTCTGCTTAATGGTGTCGGCTATTCAACTACTGTAAAAAGATCCTTGAGTTTCTGTTATATACCCTATGGATTTAAAGATATATGAACTATTATATAGTAATTGATTTTGTTATTTTAAGTCTTCAGAATGTATGATTACTTTTATTAATAGATTTGTATCATTATCATGAACAGAGTATTTCTTATTACCAGAAAAAATATATGAAATTAGGCAAAGAAAAATCCATAGGGTTATTCTATAGTTTTTTCTGATTTGTAGTTATAGATATTTGAGCATGTTGAGCAAGGGTTCATTATTATTTTGAAGTTATGCTTCAAATGTTTTAAAAATTATATTAAAACTTGTACAGTACAGTACAGTATATGCAAATTTTTTTAACCAAATTATATACTGCATTAAATTTATAACAAAATAACACGATAAAATTTATTGAGAAATGAATAATGGTTGTATAAGTCCAACAATATCACTTCTCTGACCAGGGCAAAGTTTGTCTAAATGTGTTCAACATGTTTTAACTTTTGTACAGACCTGATAGACTGCAGCGTGTTTTGAATTACTATTTTATAAGAATAATACATATTTCTCTATCCAGACATTGCTGTAATTGTCTGTATTGTTTAAAGTAATAAAAAATTGTGCATGAACATTAATTTGTTTACTTTACCTTTTATTGTTGATTATTGATTGATTATTTCTGATTATTGATTATGTAATCAGATGTAACACAAACAAAGAGCAACAGTTTTAAGCTCAACCAGCTACATTGTAGGACTGAGAACAGGAGATGCTTTTTCACCCACAGGGTTATAAACCCACGGAACTGTCTACTCGCTGAAGCTGTAAATGCCAAAACTCTCAACTTTTAAAATCCAACTGGAAAAGATCAGGGTAAATGACGAAACCTTTGACAAGCTGCTTCCTGTCGTCGTCGAGGCCTCTAGTGTGTTAGTGGCCCTCGGGTAAATTATTGCTGATTATTGATTATTTAGTGCTAATTATTGATGGATGCTGATTACCTGCTTGAGACCTGCATGATGTTCTACTTGACCTGGGAGTTGTTCTACTTGACCTGGGAGTTGTTCTACTTGACCTGGGAGTTGTTCTACTTGACCTGGGAGTTGTTCTACTTGACCTGGGAGTTGTTCTACTCCCCAGGCCCGGCCCGAGGTCAGGCTTGATTATTGCTGATTATTGGTAGAAATGAAGTTGGTCCTGCTAAATACCATAGAAATACAACGGAGGAAATAAACTTATTTTTCAATTATTATCATTTTCTTTGGTTGCTCTTGCTAGTAAAGTATCCAGTGTTGAGTAACAGCCTGCTTTAACATTCCAGTCTTTGCCCTGCCATCAGTTGCTTTGATGCTACATATTTTCAACTACAATTACTGGTATTTATTTTTTAAATCAAAGATTTAAAGATTCTTAGTACATGTACTAAATCATATGATACTTTGCCCTGAACATTATAAAATACATGCTTAGCTTAACAAAAGGTGTCAATGCTAGTGATATGAAGTCTATACCCAACTTATAATTCCATTTACATTTTGCAGGGATTAACTTTGATATTTTCATATTTGATGATGACCAGCCTTATCAGTTGTTCCAGTTGTTGGTCTGGGCAATTTAGCAAGGCAAATACTTTATATTGTATATCATTTGTTTTATTTCTTGAACATTCTCATATACAAAGAGTAATCACACTAACGTGATGTATCAATGACATCCAGAGGAGCCGCGATGAGGATTCGAACCTATGCAGTGGGCATTCCTACGCACATGCCCCGACATGGTCAAAAAGACTGAAACCTGGAGTTCTACTGAACACACAAGGGTTTCCTAAAGCTTCCACTGAAGCTGGACCAGGATTTTCACACAATCCCCTTATGCGTGACGATATTATTATTATGCTCTGTCATCTAGGAATGTTCTACCTCTGACACTTTCAACACACAGAGTGTAATCACACTAATGCAATATATACCCCACCCTGAGTGCCAATCAGGGTTATCTTGAGGTATTCTTGAGATGATTTTGGGGCTTAGTTTCCCCGCGGTCCGGTCCTTGACCAGACCTCCTTTTTGTTACACATCCCCAGGAAGCAGCCTGTAGCAGCTGTCTAACTCCCAGGTACCTATTGCTAGGTGAACAGGTGTATCAGGGTGAAAGAAACTCTGCACATGTGTTTCCGTCTCTGCCGGGGATCGAACTTGGAACCTTAGGACTACAAATCCCGAGCGCTGTCCACTCAGCTGTCAGGCCCCCTGATGTGGGGAGATTAAGGTGGGGTTTAACATAATATGGGACTCTATGGAGGTGCACATCAACAGGGTGGGAATGTTTATTGTGACAAAGAATAAGATACTTAGGCCACGAAGTGGGGGCCAAACAAATCCTGGAATTTGGAATTCCAGGATTTGTTTGGCCCCCACTTTGTGGCCTAAGTATTTTATTCTTTGTCACAATGAACATTCCCACCCTGCTGATGAGCAGAGGTAGAAGGAAGGAAACATATGTGAGCACAGGGACAGTGTCTGGAACTCCCAAGAATGAGGTGATAAATGGCACAGTTGTCACAATAGAAGATGGAGCTATATCGGGCAATGAGGAAGTTGCCACCGGAAGCTAGGAGCTCAAATCTGCATAAGAAATGGGAGAGGGGGGGGGGGGGGAGTGTCAGTCAGGACAGTCTGAGGCAATGCCTGGTCTGGGCTCACCACAGATGAAGCCCAGATGAAGGAGTTTCATGGAGCTCCTTCATCTGGAGTCTGATCTTCCAATATGGTCTGACTTGGGGGTCTGGTTGCCAACTCGATGAGTCTGCGAATAGGAGAGAGGATCTGAAGTATACATGAAGGCAAACTGATCAAGACTTCACTGCCCAGCACTCCCACCCACAACAGAGCTCAAATGGGAGGCATCAGCATATGGGCAAGCAACCCCAGGGGTAACTGAAATAGTTATTATTGAGGGGCCAAGCTATATTCCAAGGACTGATAGGGATACCACCCAAACAATGCCCCGCCGACATGATGTCTAACTAGGAAGGGATAATGAATATAGCCGATTGATTCAGGTGAGCCACACTGAACTTCCTGTTTTACCTCCATTCCCACCAGAGAAATGTTGTGCCCCATTCCTCAGGAGCCACAGCTGTTGAGTAGGCTTAACTTCCAGATGAAACAAGGCATGCATGGGTCTCCATGCAAGGCTGTAATACATGGGGCTGTATTTAGCTTATGCTCTGCCACAGCAGGTAGGACATGGGAGTAGTGCACAATAGCCCCCCCTCACTGCACCACAGCACCATCCACATAGTGTTGTGGATGCACTAAATTTTATTCCGCAAACCTTGTTAATCCACATTATTATATAGTCTTTCAACTGCATTTTTCTCAATAAATATTTTATTATCTGTTCAGATTTATGGACTTTATCAGATTTTATGAAATAGTGCCAAAATATGCACTACAATTTAGTGTACTTTCACATTAACCCTTAAACTGCGCAACACACCTGCAGGTGCGTTGCGTCTGGTTTGTATGTAGCCTGGAATGTAGCCACATTCCCGTCTGGTTTGCGCAACGTGCCTCCGGGTATTTGTATTTTTCACGTTCCATTCAAAACTTCTGCGGCTACATCAGGTTCACATCAGCTTCTTCAGGGCTCTTGTAAACAGATGCCATCTTTAAAAAAAATTGTGGTCCACATTCCCGGGTGTGAGAGAGTCAGTACTGAGTGAGCAACCAAGGCCGGCGCACACAGCATGAGCTCACAGAACTGCTGTTCAGCTTGTGACCAGAGCATCGCCAAATAATGTCAATATATATACAGTATATAACTTGCGTTATTTAGCCATGATAGTATTACAGAAGAGCCTGAGTGTGATAATGACTGTGTATAATGTTCAAATATCAGTGATTCAATGCTGTTCACGATGTTCACAGCACTAGCCACAACACCACAGCATTATTTCGTCCGTCTAGGAATCTTCAAACGACTTCTTAGGTTCCTTTACAAAATAAACTAGTGGTCAGTTATTTATTTACAGGAATTAGTGACCAATATTGTGATAACAGCAGGATTGTGGTGATAATTAGCACTGTGCGTAGTATTGTGGGAGGAGGAATTATGGTGAGGGAGAGAATCGAGGTAGCCTCATTGTGTGTGGGGCAGCCACTCTTGTTTTGCTCATCATACTAGCTTAGTGGTTCACTATGGTGAACACACATGTACATAGGTATATACAATGTGTGTATATACCCATATTCATGTGCGTAGTATTGTTGGAGGAGTAATTGTGGTGAGGGAGCGAGGGAGAGAATTGAGGTAGCCTCACTATGTATGTGGCAGCCACTCTTATTCTGCTCATCATACCAGCTTAGTGGTTCACTATGGTGAACACATTTGTACATGGGTATATAAAATGTGTGTATATAGTGTAATGACAGAAACAGGAGTATGCTGGGAGGAGCTAGTTTGGTGAGGGAGGTGACGTAACCGTAGCGTCGTCTGCTGGCTGCTGTGTGATTTCTCATGCAGTGTATGGTGGCCACTGTAAAGTTTGGGCACAATACCGGCTTACTTGCATAGTTCTGGTGAATAAAACATGTAGATAGGTATACATAACATGTGTAAATAGTGTAATAAAAACAATAACATTATGGTGGGAAGACCAATGTTGGCGAGTAAGATGTTGGAGGAGTGAGGGAGAGACTGGATGTTGAAGGAGTGAGGGTGTGGCAGCTGACACTCGCTGAGTTCTGAGTGTGTTCATGGTGAATGTATATAGTGTGTACATATGTTGGTGAATGTATATAGTGTGTACATATGTTGGTGAATGTATATAGTGTGTGATAGTGTATAGTGTGTAAATAGATTGTATATATACATAAATGAGCATGTTGCATGGGAAATATGTGCAACATATGTGTACATATGTCATGCATGTAACACAGTGTCTTCAGACAGTATGGATGTTCTACTGCCATAATATAGTGTACATGCTCATTATACGGTACATAGGATTGGCACAAAAATACAAATAAAATGTATTTGGAGCTGTGCGCAAAAAATGAACCAAAATATATTTGTGGCAACTGGCGCATCTTGAGCTGGGCACGCTTGTGGCCCGTGGTCGCACCACGGGCATGGGATTGATGACGTCACGCGCGAACTTACAGACCCCATAGCAGCCAAAGTACAATTTTGACTTTTTGTTAGCATATCCATACTTAGGGAAGGCTTTTTGACACTTAAAAAAAACAAATAATTTTTTTCAAAGAATTTATTTCCTGCGCACTGGGGGGGGGAAGAGGTGTCATATTTGGAAGCCGAGCAGTTGAGGGGTTAAATACAATTATCGTCATGTTACCCATAAATTCAGGATTATTATTTTTGGAAATAAAAATAAAAACTAATTACTTCAAAAGAACTATTTAATTAAAAAGAACTTTGTACACTTTAATGCTACATTCTCATTCCAAAGATTTCACAGACTTGTTACAATATTTTTAAAATGATGTCTTGACTTTCATTAAGTGCTGAGCTTGTGCTCTTATTTTACTTTACATACTGAAATAAATACCATATACAGTACAAAAATTTAAATATTATGAGAGAATTCAATACTCTTCAGCATATTGAAACTTTGTTATACAAGATGTTACAACTAATTTTTGATGCCAAAAATGATACTGTAGATTATTATGCTACATATCAACTCCCAGTAACACTATTTTGCTAGCATAGTGTTGGAAACAATGGACTAGATAGTTGCTAGATACTTTAGTACACTGAACATGTCTCAATATAATCAAATTATACAAGCACCAATTCAGAATCCTGTCAAATTTACGAGCTGCTCATTAACACTTAAAATTCTTCCTCAGAGGATAAGAGGTGTGGTGGTGTCATGAAGATTTATGCAGGTGACTGGCCATCATTAAGATAAAACACGAAGACAGTAGAAACAGACCAGCTGGAACGGAAGACAGTAATCGGTATTCGTGATCTGAAAAGGAGATTCAATTATGTCAATTTAATTAATTGAACAAATAACTGTTAAGTAAAAGAGTAGTCTTGTATTTATATTGATAATGTTACCCAGGGAACTTGTACCTAAAAATGTTCACTACATTAACAATGCATCAACATTTATAGTATCAGTAAAAAAAACACATCTGTACCTCTTGTCCTTTTTTTTATAATTAACAATTATATGTACAGTAGAGCAGTAAATAACTAATATATCTATACATATTTGCAAATGAAAATGTGTGTTCAAGGCTGGAGGCCAGACACTTGGGGCTAGCTTGACCTAATTTCTCCCAGTAATTGCTGCTGGATATATGCTCAACATGAACAGGCCCAGATAGGCATCAAAGGGTGCCACGTGATGCAGCCAAACATACCCCTCATGAGAAATCGTAGAATATCACACAACTGTGAATAATTATTATTTTCATGTTATCTTGAGGTTATCTTGAGATGATTTTGGGGCTTTTAGTGTCCCGGCGGCCCGGTCTTCGACCAGGTCTCCACCCCCAGGAAGCAGCCCGTGACAGCTGACTAACACCCAGGTACCTATTTTACTGCTAGGTAACAGGGGCATAGGGTAAAAGAAACTCTGCCCATTGTTTCTCGCCGGCGCCCGGGATCGAACCCGGGACCACAGGATCACAAGTCCAGCGTGCTGTCCGCTCGGCCGACCGGCTCCCTGTTGTTGTTATATCAGGAAATGTTATGCACTCATGATGGCAAAATTCTTAACCCCAGAAGTGCACCAGTTGACATATTAAGGGGTGTGGTGGTGGAGTGCCAGCTGACGCATAATTATAAATCCAATTATAAGATTTAGACTTATATACAGTACAAGTACTGTAAATTAATTGACTTGAGATATGTCAGCATATAGGTAAATCCCCAAAATTTAGAGGTGTAATTCAGGATTAGGCCTATATTCACCGCATAAGACAATGCCCTATAATAAGAAGCACCACTTCCCATGCACAACTGTATGAAAAGAAGAAACTACAGTATCTCATAAATATACGGTACCTTAACTAATATTGACATCATAAGGTAGGTGGTGTTAGTGGTTGACATGAGAGGCAGGTGGTGTTAGTGGTTGTCATGAGAGGCAGGTGGTGTTAGTGGTTGTCATGAGAGGCAGGTGGTGTTAGTGGTTGACATGGAAGGCAGGTGGTGTTAGTGGTTGACATGGAAGGCAGGTGGTGTTAGTGGTTGTTATGAGAGGCAGGTGGTGTTAGTGGTAGTCATGAGAGGCAGGTGGTGTTAGTGGTTGTCATGAGAGGCAGGTGGTGTTAGTGGTTGTCATGAGAGGCAGGTGGTGTTAGTGGTTGTCATGAGAGGCAGGTGGTGTTAGTGGTTGACATGAGAGGCAGGTGGTGTTAGTGGTTGTCATGAGAGGCAGGTGGTGTTAGTGGTTGTTATGAGAGGCAGGTGGTGTTAGTGGTTGACATGAGAGGCAGGTGGTGTTAGTGGTTGACATGAGAGGCAGGTGGTGTTAGTGGTTGTCATGAGAGGCAGGTGATGTTAGTGGTTGTCATGGAAGGCAGGTGGTGTTAGTGGTTGTCATGAGAGGCAGGTGGTGTTAGTGGTTGTCATGAGAGGCAGGTGGTGTTAGTGATTGTCATGAGAGGCAGGTGGTGTTAGTGGTTGACATGAGAGGCAGGTGATGTTAGTGGTTGTCATGAGAGGCAGGTGGTGTTAGTGGTTGTCATGAGAGGCAGGTGGTGTTAGTGGTTGTCATGAGAGGCAGGTGGTGTTAGTGGTTGTTATGAGAGGCAGGTGGTGTTAGTGGTTGTCATGAGAGGCAGGTGGTGTTAGTGGTTGTCATGAGAGGCAGGTGGTGTTAGTGGTTGTCATGAGAGGCAGGTGGTGTTAGTGGTTGTTATGAGAGGCAGGTGGTGTTAGTGGTTGTCATGAGAGGCAGGTGGTGTTAGTGGTTGTCATGAGAGGCAGGTGGTGTTAGTGGTTGTCATGAGAGGCAGGTGGTGTTAGTGGTTGTTATGAGAGGCAGGTGGTGTTAGTGGTTGACATGAGAGGCAGGTGGTGTTAGTGGTTGTCATGAGAGGCAGGTGGTGTTAGTGGTTGTTATGAGAGGCAGGTGGTGTTAGTGGTTGACATGAGAGGCAGGTGGTGTTAGTGGTTGTCATGAGAGGCAGGTGGTGTTAGTGGTTGTCATGAGAGGCAGGTGGTGTTAGTGGTTGTCATGAGAGGCAGGTGGTGTTAGTGGTTGTCATGAGAGGCAGGTGGTGTTAGTGGTTGTCATGAGAGGCAGGTGGTGTTAGTGGTTGTCATGAGAGGCAGGTGGTGTTAGTGGTTGTCATGGAAGGCAGGTGGTGTTAGTGGTTGTCATGGAAGGCAGGTGGTGTTAGTGGTTGTCATGAGAGGCAGGTGGTGTTAGTGGTTGTCATGAGAGGCAAGTGGTGTTAGTGGTTGACATGGGAGGCAGGTGGTGTTAGTGGTTGTCATGAGAGGCAAGTGATGTTAGTGGTTGACATGGGAGGCAGGTGGTGTTAGTGGTTGTCATGAGAGGCAAGTGGTGTTAGTGATTCTTTCCACTTTTTGTTCTTTCTTTCTTTCTGTAAGAAATCTTTATATCTTTCTTTCTGTTAAAGAAAGAGTTCTAGGGATCTAAAAGATCTTAATTGACACAGTTATGCCTATGAGGCAACTCTCCTCATTAAAAAAAAAATCAGTGTTGAATGTAACGAAACACCAGTTTCTTGGTGAGTCCTGGAGGCTTCCTGAAGCTATCTTACTGATCAAGTGTCATACTACTCGAGTGTCTTCAGTTGCAGAGTTCTTTGTAAGCCTACCGCAGTCCACGAGGCAAAGGGAGCAATGCCATGAACACTTTACATTTAAGGTATATCTTCTTGCCATCAACCTGGAAATGTGCCCAGAAAGGTGGATGAATCAAAAGAGAGACTACTGCTTGGTTGAAAAGTGCAACTTACATCCTCACAAGCACAAAAGAATTCCCATAGAAAGCAAACAAGCAAAACTTCGTCCAACTAAAGTGTAGAATAAACCAGTCAAAAACATGCTTGGGAATAGGGGAAGCTGGCCTGGGTAAGTCAGGCTGCCACCATCCAGTTCTTTAAATGATGAAAATTGCCTACTGGAGGGATGGAACTTGTCAGAGAGTTTCTGGGGTTCACCCAAAAACTGGCGTTTCATTACATTCAATGCCGGTTTTCTGTGGGAGAGCCCTATTGTCTCCCCGAAGCTAACTACCTACAGAGAAGGAAAACAGGGAAGAACCCGGGAGGCAGCAGCCTTGCAGAGCACAACCCAACAAAGACAGCCATCTGCTACAGAAGCCCCAAAGCAGCAGAGAGCCTGGGATGGTCACAAGAGACCTGGCGGCCAAGACCGTGACCGACCCCCAAAACCCCACGAGCCCAAAAACAGCAGCCAAAGACAGCCAAATGAGTGGCATACATCCGAACATCATGGGCACCAGGGTATACCGCATCATGGGGCACCAGGGTAGACCACATCATAGACATCAGGGTAGACTACATCATAGGCACTAGGGTAGATTATATTATGGGCACCAGGGAAACCTGATCAACCCAGAGTGCAGCCAGCATTACTGAACCGGAGGCCCTTAGGTAGCGGCGTAAAGCTGCCACCGGACACAATACATGATGTCATGGGAGGCAGGTGGTGTTATTGGTTGTCATGATGGTGTTAGCCTAATCAACCAAATCAACAGCAATCAACAACAATCAACCCCAGCCTAATCAACCAAACATCCATAACCAACGAACCCCTCTAGAATCCCACTGTCTCATTCTTTGCCGGAAAAGAAGGAGCCGGTTGCAAACGAAAAAAAAAAGACCATCAGGACCAAACAAACAAACCCCTCTGGTGCCGGAGAAAAGCATGAAGCTCCCCAACCTGACCCACAGAGAATTAGGCCAACAAAACAATGCCTACTAAAAACAAGCATAAACTGAAGAAACCACCACAAACCAAGGTGAAGAAAAAAGGAAAGATCCTGGTCCAAAGATGAAGAAGGCTCAGGCGGCGCATGAGCAGGCCGGAGGTGAAAAATACATAAGAAAGCTAGTGGAATGGAGTGGAATGGAGTGGAAGTGACATCCAGCCTGAACCCAAGCTGCAGCGGCTGTCAACGCTGCATGATACGAAGCGATAGTACAATATTCACTCAATGTATTAGTATCCTGACCTATATGGAGATGTACACAGGTTGTTAAATCCTTGGCTCCTCCAAATCTGGAGGTTTTAAAATTATGGTAACTGTTTAGTTATATCTGGGAGAGCAACAGTGGGTGGGTGGGCTGACTGGTTAACTGGTTGGTAGGTGGGTGGGTTGATTAAATGGCTGGTCTAGGGCAGGCAAGTGGGCTAAGTGGATGGAATGGGTTTGGGTGGGTGGGTGGATGGTGTAACACCGCCCTTTTGTACCACCACCATAATGTGTCACCACTATAATGGTTACTAAAACTAATAATGTAAACACTACTTATCCTGAGTAACACTTCCCCATCAGTTGCACTTGGTAACACTGTTATGAAACACGGTAATGTGAGCTGACATATGATGGTTACACCGGAACCAAAAGATACACTGCCAATAAGGAAATGCTAACACAAGGATTAAATACGCTGCCACCATATGCCTTTGACCATTGAGACTATATCAAGCAACGAGGCTTGAAACATTGTTTGACTTGGAGAGTACTTTCTATGATTGTCATTAATTATGAAAACGGTTATCAGCCACTATATCCAAAAGGCTAAGAGGATTCAACAATTGACACAGATGGGAAATTTAACATGAGTTTTATTGAGACCAAAATTATGTCAATCACCACTTATAAATCCTACTCTAACACTGGCAAAAAGTTAAGAAATTTTGGACATGGAACAAAACCTCAGAGATCACACACATTACCTTAAAACCTGTCTCTCCCTGGCTGAGATGTTCTTCACAGCCCTCTCTGGACCCCGG